TTTTCTCTGTTTCCTACGGTTACAGTGACTCCCGCAGCACCGGCTACATGCTTGATACGCAAACAGGAAACACGAAGGATGACAAAGTACACGCCAGAGTTTAGACCGACAGGAACAGCCGGCGCTTGTATCAAATCCATGACACACCGATCCATCTGTCCGAAGATTCTCCCTCAGTCACCGCATCTCGAGCCTCCGTACACAAAACAGCGAAGAGTACCTAGTGATACAATGCCCTCTCCGTTTCGTATATGTATGACGCGCACAACACTACTCTATTGAGAGCTACGCGAGACATGCATCAAAGGTATGCAGGAAAAGCAAAAAGCATAATCCGACACTCACTCCGGGACGTGACGCCATAAGAAACGACGTGGACTTTTGACGACGCATTCAACGACCCCCATTGGAGAAAAGCAAAAACATAAAAGACAAAGACCGCAAACGCTGTGTGTGAGACGCGCCAAGCGCCACCCCAACAGCATATTTTACTCGACCAAAGGTATCATNCCACACAGAAGAACAAAAAAAAGCAACAAACAAACGCTGCCGTGTTGACCAACCAGGCGACAGCNTACCTAGGTTTCAAGAACAAGCCCCCCCCCCGAAGCCGGCGAAGGCTCCCGGCGTCGGTCACAGACAGACGCGAAAAAAGACCCCGCCACCAACCGCCTACTTCATCAAAATGCAGAAGTAGATCACACAGAAATAAAAAAAGCAACAAACAAACGCTGCCGTGTTGACCAACCAGGCGACAGCGCAACAGCCTACATCCTGAGCAACATGCATCATTCACCATCACCACGAACGTCGCGCAGGTCTCCATGCGCGACGTGATACGCCGCCGGTGTATAAAAGAAATGTAGCTCCGACGCATCCAAAATAATCATACAAAAAGAGTGCAGAGGTGAGGTCGGGTGTCCAGGATGATGCCATCCCGCGCTGCAGGGCGTGGATATCTTAACTGCATCAACCTCCTGGGGGACATGAGACAACCCAGCAGTGAAGCTTTGGGAGAGCCAACACATAAACTCCGCGCAAAGCACTACCAGCAGAAACTTCGAGGTTAAAGTCTCCCCCCTTCGAAACCTACTCCAAAACTTGTCAGGCATTCTTGTGTGGAGACAAAAGCTGCCGACGCTCTTCGACCGCCCCGACGATGTTGTCGTGGAGGCGAGCGACCTCGAGGATTACCTCAACATGTCGCCCTGGACTTCGGCGGCGCTTAACCCGTGCCTCAACAACATGTCGCCCTGAACTTAGGGCGACATGTTGTTGAGGTATTCCTCGAGGTCGCTCGCCTCGACGATAACATCGTCGGGGCGGTCGAAGGGCGTCTCGCAAACCAGTATCTCCTCGTCGCTCTCGTTCGAGACCTCGGGGCCAGTGAGGTCGGTCTTGCCGCCTGCGTTCGTCTGTCGAACGGCAAAGACAAGCAAACGCGATAACGTCATGATCAGAAGACGTCAAGATTAATGCGAGGATGACGGTCTCTTTGAGGACAGGGCTTTGAAATTGACGGATCGGGGGG